CCAGCAGAACAAGGTGGAAGCTGTGTGGATGGGCATGCTGTGAGGGCACCTGCTGGCGTCTAGCAGAAGAAGGTGGAAGCTGTGTGGATGGGCGTGCTCTGAGGGCACCTGCTGGCGCCCAGTGCTTTCTGTCCTTTTGTTAAATTTAGAACAACACAAAGTCCCTGTGACATCCATGCTTCTTCCTTCTGGCTATCTGTGAAGGCGCAGAACGTGTGTGCCAACCGTTATAGCAACGATCTGCATCTTTTCCTTCCTTCTTCGTGTCCTCAGCACTAGTTTTGGTCACAAAGGAGGTGTGCTTTCTCCTGGTTTTAACACCTTGCAGCCAAGCAGTTACAGTTCTGTATGGTTTTTACCAGACCCAGGTGTTCTCTGTGGGTGGCCCCTGGAGTATGCGATGACCATAGGGTGATGGGAGTGGGAGTGGTGGTAGGGGTGGTGGCCTCAGGCCAGCCCCATGGTTGCTGCCAGACAAGGGGTAGAGGAACGAGGCTGGCCTGGTCACAGTGGGCGCTCACTGAGAATGTCCTCAAATCCTAGGCCCTGCAGGAGGGTTTTGTTTCTTTCTTTCTTTCTTTCTTTCTTTCTTTGTTTTTAGAGACAGAGTCTCGCTTTATTGCCCTCAGTAGAGTGCTGGGGCATCACAGCTCACAGCAACCTCCAACTCCTGGGCCTAGGCGATTCTCTGGCCTCAGCCTCCCGAGTAGCTGGGACTGCAGTTGTCTGCCCCAATGCTGGGCTATTTTTTGTTACAGTTTGGCTGGGGCTGGGTTTGAGCCCTCCACCCTCAGTATATGGGGCTGGCCCTCTACTCCCTGAGCCACAGGTGCCACCCTGGGAATGATTTTTTTAAAAGGAGCCTGTATTTCCATCCTTGTAGCCAGGTTTGGCGTGTTCCATGAGCCCTTGGCATTGTCCTCCCTCTCCAGACTCCTGTGGGGTGTGTCAAAAGGTAGAGGTGCTGCTCAGGATAGTGGCCACCTGCCTTAGGTGCTTTTAAAATTTAAATTCAAATAAAATTGAGTTAAAAATTCATCTCCAGAGCCCTGGAGAGCACATCTGTCATCACTGGAGGTTCTGCTGGGCTGAGGGCCAGGCTGAACAGGTGCAGGGACACCCACAGGCTGGCCACTTTGGTTCCGCTGTCTCTTACTCTCTGAGCTGATGAGAGAGGGAATTTTGGAATTTATTAATTTTTTTTTAGAATTTGAGTATTTAGGATGCACTGTTTTTCCTTGAAGTCAAAGGGGTGAGTGTGGTCCCACTAGATGGGCTTCTTGAAGGAAGTCAAGTTTCTGACCTGGCGGGAGAGGAGAGACCCTGGCAGGCTGCTGTGGTCCCACATCCCGGTGCTCATATTTTCTCATCTGTGACATGGGGATAATCACAGGGACTGAGTGAATCATGTGTGAAAAACTGAGAACAGTGGCTTCTCCTCCTCCTCATCACCTCGGCACCGATCAGGACAGGGCCCTGTGCTGGGCGGGCTTCACGGAGAGGTCAGGCTGTGGCTCACCTGTCTTCTACTCTGTCTTCTGAAGCTGCAGGCACCCAGGATGGCAGCACCACCGTGGAGTCGGAGCCCAGCCAGTGGGCATGCAAGGTGTGCTCTGCCGCCTTCTTGGAGCTGCAGCTGCTGAACGGTGAGGGGCTGGGTGGGTGGGGGGCTCTGTCTGATCACCCTGTCCCCTCCCAACGCTGTCTGTATCTATGCCTCCATGATGTAGTCATAAGAACCAAAGCCTTCTCAGGGTGTAAAGCTTCTGGGCAGAGCCCTGGCAGTGGTAGGCCCCCTCTCCCCAGTGTGTGACTGTCCCCTGCTACTGGGCTGACGGAGGACTGGCAACTCCTGTGGTGTGTGATGTGCAGCCTCGCTCTTGTTGTCTGAACGTGACTGTCCATCCTATTTCTTCATCTGTAGGGCACTTTAATCTGCTCAGGTAGATGAACCACTTTAAGGTACCAGGAGAGAATAGGGCATGTTCCCAGGGACACAGCACCCGAGAGCATCCGTTCCTGTCTCTTGGGGAGCGGGTTTCTCCACATGCCTCTGATGAGCCTGTATAGTAAAGATGGACTGCAGTCTCGTAAAGAAGAGAATAACAGTTCGTGACTTTCTGTCACGGGCAGAACACGCTCAGAGGCCCTGAGCTCTGAGCATGTCACTCAAGTGGTGCAGGCCTGACTCTGGCCATCATCGTCAGGTCAGTGGCTGGAATGTTCTGGAACCTGTAAGAAGGTTCCTCCTTGGTAAGTTTTAGGAACAAGGAGGCTAACGCGAGCATTCCACAGAGAAGTCGGGGTTACCCAGCTGACATTGTCCATCTGCTTTGAGACAGGAACAGACTGGCTGCAGCTCTCCCACAGTTTCCTAGGACGTCCTACTGATCTTGGCCCTAACCAACTCACCGACGTGTCATTGTGCCCTCTGCTTGGCAAGAAGGGCTTTGTGTTTGTCACCAAGACAGAAATAGCAAAGTGGCTGCTGGGTTTTCAGGGAGTGCCGTGAAATACCCATCCTCCCAGAGGGAGATGGGGTCCAGATGCGGGGCCTTCACGGTGCACAAGACATGGTTATTAAATCCACAAACAGGAAAGGCTGTTGTGCTCGTTTGTTTTATATTTTACCCTGATGACTAGTTTTGAGTGAACAGAGGAAATTCCTCACTTTGGCAGCCGAATTCAGCTTCTAGCAACACACACAGGGCCCTAAATTCAAGCTCGTCAGACAATCAGGCTGAGGTTTCCTGACATGAGCTTGGTACTGCGTCTTCTCAGTGCTTGAGGCCTGGCACACTTGAGGGCTGGGCAGACCCAGGCAGGAGCCACTGAATCACCTGCCCAAAGCTGTGCAGCCTGAGCATGTGGAGCAGGTCAGCCTCCGTCCTGGAGGGATCTTGGACTCTCCCTTCCCTGTTTGAGCTCATCTGGTTTCTGTAGCCCTTCTCTGGGGGTCTCATTGATAAAGGAGGACAGCGGAGGAGCAGGACCCTTGCAGCTGGCCTGTGAGGGTGGACGGGCTGTGTATCCCACAGACTTGGGCTCAGTGGCCTCAGGGCCAGAGGACAGAGCAGTCTCAAGCAAGCCTTCTGAAAGCGGCTTACGGGGCTGTCTCAGTGCTGCTGTGTCCCTGCTGGCACCCAGCCATTCCATTCTGTCTCATTTTATCCAGAGTTGCACCGGGTCTGAAGCTGCTGATGTGAGCTGGTTATGAAGAGTTTGCCTGAGACTTGGTTTTGTAGTTTCCAGATCAAACTTACCCAGTTCGCTGTCTTTGAGGTTGGCTAACTTCCAAACCAAGCCACTGCTTGAATGTGAACTTCTTTTATTTATTTATTTTTTAATGAAACATAGAAGACGCACAACTTCGGCCGAGTGAAGCTTGGCTTAGAGCTTTGCAGTCAGACGTGCTGCCCAGAGCAGCAGGCAACTGGGCGGAGTTGTTCTGACCAGCAGGGCTGTCAGACAGAAGATGTGTTGCTCATCCTCTTTCTCTTGAGGGATGTCATTTCCCTCTCATCCTCTTGGGAGCCCTGCTCACCTCCCAGGAGTCTTCTGAGAGACTTGTGGTTAAACACAGGGCATCATAAAGGTGCATTAACCTTGGTGCCCTCCTGGAATTTTACCAAAAGGGCAGAAATAAAGAGTGGGGAAGCCTGGAACAGCAGACATGTTTGGAAACTGGAAAGTGTTTGGGAAAATGATAACTACTGTGCAGACCAGAGGAGCAGGAGCCAGCAGTGGGGGCCAGGTAGCAGGTCAGCTCCTGCCGCAGAGCTTTGGAAAGGTCTGGAAACTGTAGGCGCCAGATGTCTTGGGAGCAGCCGACAGGGTAGTTGGCCGGAAGAGTGCCTGGGCCGTCGTCAGACCCCTGGGTGCTGTGCTCTGTCATCTGGGGAGCTGAGCGGAGGGACCCTGAGTGGGGCCTCGGGGAAGCCACCATACTAAAATGGGAGTCTCCTTATGTTCCCTTCCAGGACAGTGCAGCAGGTATATGGTGTGGGAAGGGAACGGTGGGAAACAGCCAGTCCAAGAGAATAGCCTGGGGTTTCCCCAAGAACATGACCGCTCACCCTGACCATCCTGTGAGAAGCTGTCCCAGTGGCACCTCAGTTGTGAACCTTATAGACACTGGAAGGAGTTCTAATGTGAGCGAGGCCACCGCAGCCAGCAGGGAAAAACTGCTTTGGGAGAAAGGGAAACCAAACCAACAGAAAATAAGACCAGGTTGCTGTTAAAGAAGAATCAGAGAGGACTGGCATGGTGGGTGGCTCATGCCTGTGATCCCAGCACTCTGGGAAGATGGGGGTAGAGGATTGCTTGAGTTTAGGAGTTCGAAACCAGCCTGAGCAAGAGTGAGATCCTGTCTCCAAAATTGTCCAAGCATGGTGGCAGCACCTGCAGTTCCAGCTACTTGGGAGATACAGGCAAGAGAATTGCTTGAGTCCATGAGTTTGAGATTGCTGTGAGCTATGACGCCATAGTTCTCTACCCAGGGTGACTGAGGGAGATTCTATCTCAAACAGAAAAAAACAACTTATGAGAATAGAAAATACCTGGAAATTGAAGCTGTGGCAGCAGAATTAAGTTTGCTGGGTGAGGACTGCATGATGCTGAAGAAATCTTCTAGAAAGGTGAACATAAAGAGAGCACTGGAGAGAAAGATAAGAAAACAAGAGTGTTGGTCCAAGAGACCTGACACGTGACTTAGAGAGGAGAGATTATAATAATCAGTCCAAACATGCTCCTCCAACATCTGAGGGCATGTTTCCAAACTGAAAGGGCCCTGTGCATACGCAGCACAGTGTAGAAGCAGCCCATGTGGAGCCACGTCACGTGAAAGGTGAAATCGTATTAGGATTAAAGAAGAAAAACTTTGAGAGAGAAAAATACCCAAGTTACGTGATGCTGTGAGAATCAGAGTGGCCAAGTCATTGTTCAGATGTGGGAGTAAACGAGGGGTGTTTACTGGACAGTCACAGGCTCACACACTTGACCTCCTGTATTATTTTTCTTGTGAAATCATTGGAGGACAGGCTTCTGGAAGAACGAGAGCTCTATCAAGATAGTAGTCAGTGGTTCTACATGCTGGATTTCTACTTGCAAACAGAACTCACCCTAGGGGTTTACTAGGAGGGGACATGTGGAAGAATCCCAAGAAGGAGGCTGGACACAGTGGCTCACACCGGTGATCCCAGCCCGTTAGGTGGCTGAGGCAGGAGGATCACTAAAGCCCAGGAGTGACTTGAGATATGAAGGGCAACATAGTGAGACCCCCCATCTCTACAGAAAATAAAAAACTAGCCAAGCGTGGTGGTGCACACCTACAGTCCCAGTTACTCAGGAGGCTGAGGCAAGAGGATCTCTTGAGCCCAGGAGTTCGAGGCTGCAGTTGAGCTATGACGGTACTGCTCCACTGCAGGCTAGGTGACAGAGTGAGACTTTGTCTCTAAAAAAGAAAAAGGAAAAAGAAAAAATAATTTCCAGGAAGGGCCAAAGAATCAAATCAGGAGAACCCTGGGATTCCACAGCAGGGTTGAGGGTTGTCCCAGGCAGCCCAGTCAGCGTGGACGTGATTTTTCTGTTTTTTCTTGCCAGACAATTACCAATATTATTAGTCTTTTCAGAGCACCAACTTTTGGTTTTGTTGATTCTTCCCATTGTATATTCATTTTGTATTAATTTCTGCTCTTATTATTTCCTCTTTGTCCTTTTTGTTTATTCTGTTTGTTTTCTGTTAAGTTGAATGCTTATCTTATTAATTTTCAGCTATTTTATTTTCTGATATAAACATTTAAGATGAGTTTTCCAAAGAGAAAATGTCAGCCACGTTTTCATGTCTTGACTATACTGACTCTTACCCTTGTGACTCTCAACTGATTCAACATGGGCATTAAGGAGTACCCGGCTGTTATGAAGTCACATGTCCAAAGGCGTGTCTGAAGTCGCATGCGCTGTGTAAAATGCTGCTACATTAGTAGGAGCGTATACCTGCTAGTCCTTGACATGTGGTCTCCCTTCCTGCATATGTATTTAGTTCTAAATATTTTCCAGTCTGCATTATTTTCTGTTTAAATCCATAGTTATCTGGGATGATGTTTCCTGAGTTCTCTTTCTTGGTCCCCTTTACCTTTTGTCTCATATTTTAATCTTCTGTCTAAAGCCCCTCTCTCCCTGCTGCCCAAACTTGCACCAGGGCAGGCGCGCGGGTGACAATCACTCTGGGTCTTTGTGTCCAAATGTCTTTATTCATATTAGAAACTATTTCACTGGTGATTGAAATGTTGGTGTATTTTTGTTTTCTTTCTGCACTTAGATGATATAATTTTCCTCCTTGTGGCTTCCCTTGCTGCTGATGAGAAGTCTATTGTCAGTGTTCTTTTGTGGGAATCTGCCTTTTTCTAGATGGCTTGTGGAATCTCCTGTCTTTGAAGTTCTGCAGTTAATCACAAGTGGCCGTTTGCTTGTTCTTGTTATGGATCTGGAATCTGAAGATTCGTGTCTTTCATCCATTCTCAATAATCCTCCACCATTTTCTTGCTCGTAGCCTTTTTTCTCCTTCTCGACTCTCTGTTTTAGTGGGGCTGTTTGCACATTGTAGACCTTCTTGCTGTATTATACACCAGGCCTCTTTGCTGCCCGCTCATGTTTTCCCAGCCCCTTGTCTCTGTTTACATTCTGGATGATCTCTGCAGCCCTCTGTTTTAGTCTATCAATTCTCTCTTCACTTGTGTCTATTTTTCTGTTTAATCTTTACATTGTACTGTTATTTAGTGTGTCTTTTTTCATCTCATAGAAGCTTTATTTGGTTACTTTTCATAACTGCTTATTTTTTACTATGTCCTCACCCTTTTTAATGCCTTTTTGGCCTTTCTTTATTCATTTAAACCTACTTTTTCCCCTTAGCCACTATTTTGAATCCCAGTTTTCTGGAGTTTTATTTGTGTGTGTCTGCTGACACCCTCGTGGTTTATCATTCCCTTGTTGCTTTTGTCGTTACTGTTTGGAGAGCTTTTTGTAGGAATCTTCCTTTCTCACACCATGGGCTCCCACCGTGCCCACGTGGCCCTTCCCTGGGCCAGAATTTATGGGAATTGTGGTACAAGAGCTTTTACTTTGCTTCTGCCAAGGTCCCTGAGGGTTTGTGGGTCTAGGTCTCAGTTCTTACTAGGATTGTTTTTTAGTTCAAATAGTATGCATTCTTGTTCTGTACCTGAAGTGACTCTGGCTTGAGACTTGGGGCTCATTATGTCCCCTGTCCCTCTTAAAGTCCTGAGCAGAGAGCAGCTTTCTCAGAGCCTTCCTGGTCCCAGCAGAGGGCCTGAATCCATGTCCCCCAGGCTCTTGTCCCTGGATGCCTCTGAATCAGCTCATGCTTTTCTGCGTTAACTTCAAGTTCCCTCTGCTGTTTGGCACCAAGGGATCTTGTTTTCTTTCTTTTAAACTCAGCAGGGTAATTACAGTTGGAGGTGGGGAGCATTCTATTTTATCTAGACTTTCTATGTGTGTTCAGCTGGTTCTGCTGATGTGGCCCTATCACATTTTGTTGTTATGCTTTTTAATTTTCTTTTCCTCACTAAACCTGTTTCCTTGAGGGCACTGACCTAGCACAGTGTTACTAAATTTTGAACAAATGAAGAAATAACAGCCGGGTAATCCTTAATGCCCATGTTGAATTGGTTGAGAGTTACAAGGGTAAGAGTCGGTCCTGGGCCCAGATTTGCACAGCTGTGCCTCTGTAAGTGCTTAGTCACCTTCTCCTCCTCCTCCTCCTCCTCCTCGCTGGTGCCCTGTGCACAGCCCTGCCCACCCTCCATCAGGGGAGCTTGTCCGTCCCTGGACTTTGTACCCACCCTGTCTGCGCATTTCCTCTGATTCTTCCAATTATCTGTTGGGGGGGGGCGGTTCTCCGAGGCTTTCTTTGATAAAAATAAAGGAAAGCACTTTTGCTTTCATGCATTGTTTTTAAAGGAAATTTTGTTTCTCACGAGTTGAATACTTTTTTTATTTTTTATTTTTTTTTTGAGACAGAGCCTCAAGTTGTCCCCCTGGGTAGAGTGCCGTGGCATCACAGCTCACAGCAACCTCCAACTCCTGGGCTCAAGCGAGTCTCCTGCCTCCGCCTCCCAAGTAGCTGGGACCACAGGCGCCCGCCACAACGCCCGGCTATTTTTTGGTTGCAGCCATCATAGTTGTTTGGTGGGTCCGGGCTGGGGATTCGAACCTGCCACCTTAGGTGTACGTGGCTGGCTCCTTAGCCGGTTGAGCTATAGGCGCCGAGCCGAGTTGAATACTTTTTAATATTCCTCTTCTGAAGATACATTTTAAAGTAATGTACATGGGCATTTCAGAAAAATTAGAAGATAAATAAGCTTAACAAAGAAAATTAAAATTGCCTGAAATCTCACCATCTGGAAGAAACACTTTCGTATTTTAATATCTCCTCCCCAGGTGTTTTTTGTTGCAAATACGTGTGTGTGTGTGTGTGTGTGCTTTTATCATTCACAACAGTGTCCCCATGGTAAACTTGCCCTGCTCTTATCACCTAAGTTGCTTTTTTAAAATAGTAGTTATATTTGTGCAGTAAAAATGCTTTTAGTTTCAAAAACCGTGGAAATAACATTCATTTTCCTATACAAGGGCACACTGTTAACAAGCAAAATTAAAAACAAATGCACAAAAACAAGGTTGAGGCGAGGCCAGGCGGGGCCCCGAATTAGGTGACCATCGTGCGTTTGCCTGTCTCTCCTTGCAGAGCATCTCTTGGGTCACTTGGAACAAGCCAAGAGCCTTGCTCCCGGCAGCCAGAGCGAGGGGACGCTAGAGAAGGAGCCGGAGGCATCCCGGGGGGAAGCCCCTGCAGTGCCCGGGAATGGGAATGTTGTGGCCACCAAAGAGCAGAAGAAAAAGCCTCGAAGGGGCAGAAAACCCAAAGCATCCAAGTCCGAGCAACCTCTGGTCATTGTTGAGGACAAGGAGCCCACAGGTAAGGGACAGACCTGGGCGCAAGTCCTCCTGGGGGCCAGGAGGTTGGGGG